TAACATTCTGGGATTCTGTGATTCTGTGAAAAACGAGACACTGACAAAAATTCCCTTAGGGCATTTCTGTCGTTTGCTTTGCAAATAAAGTATAAGCTGTGATAGTAGTTTCCTTGGAAAACCTCTAGTCCCCGAGTGAGACGGAAGAATGAGTTACCGTGAAAAACCAGTTAGAGTCAAAGGGAATCCCGGGGGCTGGAAAAGCCCCCGCTCAGGGCAGGGGGTGTGCTGCCTTCGCTTGGCGTTTGGCTGAGTCAGCAGGGCAAGTGTTTGTATGGAAACACACCGTGAGTTATTTCACTTTGGTGCCCCGGTGTTTACGTGGGGAAAGGGCTGGGTGTGAGATACAGACAGAAAGATGCTCATGCAGAAAAATAAGCTGCTTAATGTTCCACCTTCTTAGTAGTTTGGGATTTGTTGTGAATTCTCTTCGACCTTCCTGGCCTTACACATTTTTGTATGAATATACCTCTAGGCTCTGCTTTCTCAGATTTTTTTGACATAAAACCTGCCGGAGCTGGCTGTAGCCTGTACCTCCTTGCTTCTGGAGTCTGGCCCAAACCCCCGGGTGATTCCGAGGGGAAGATACCCGCTCTGCTTAGCTCAGCGCTTTTCAGTCTCCCCAGACTCCAGGGGGGGAGAACATAAGCCTTCCTGCCTAATTCCTGTCCTGCTTACCTTGCTGGGGACCTTCTTAGCTGTGCTGTCTTCCTCTTGCTGTTTTATTTTAAAGTGTACGTGGCAACTGAAACACTCCCTCTTCACGCCGTTGAAGTACTTCTGTGTGCTGTTCGTTTTTCTCAGCGCTCTCAATGCTTAACGTTTTGTCGTGTTCTATAGACTTATTTTTTCAGCTCTCAAGCTGTGGAAAGATACAGTGTCTGTGTATGTTTGCTTGCCTTTTGTTTGGTTGGTTTTTTTTCTCTGACAGGTAGGTTTGTATGATGCTCTGCTACCTCCAGCAGCCCTCATCACTTTGTCACCACTCGCAGTTTTCTGGTCAGGGCTGCCAACTTGCTCTTTCCAGAAGACAAACCAGCCTAGAGAGTCTTTCATCCTGGCACGTCTAACCACGTGAAAACTTGCTACAAGAGAATGTGGCTTCAGCTGGAAATTAAAACAGCTAAAAGGGAAGTTATGAGACACACCACCTCTTGTTTCTCATTAAACAGGGGAGCTTGTTGAATTTCCAGTTGATGGCTGTGGCACCAAAAATAAACTGAAAGCAGAGGAGGTGAAGCTCTCAAACACTGACCTTCTGCTTTGCTGTGAACTCCCCAGAGGGATGAATGGAACCAGACCATTGTTGCTCTGGTCGAGGAGTTCCCAGATGTGTTTATCTGAAGGAGGACATGCTAAGAACTGATTCTTTTGAGATTTACACGACACTCAAAGCATTGGAAAAGTAATTGACTTCATCCAGGTGTTCAGTCCCTGAAATGGTAAGGTGGAAGACAGCATTTGGAGATTTAGTTTAGTAGCTTCTTGGATAGTAGTTTCAAAAAAGTAAATGATAAAACAAGGCATAAAATATAATGCATCGCCTTGCAGTTAGTGCCACCTTTTCCCATGATCCAGGTAGAGGCTGTTCTTGTGTTAATGATGTACATCTGTAAACGCAGCGAGCAGGACCGTGGTCTGATTTCAGTGAATCAGAGCATTTAATCCCGTCCCCTGCTGCACTGCCTCCTTTGAGCGGGCTGTGTTTAGTTTTTGACACTCCTGTAGGTTACAGAAGGCGTCGCATCACGTGGCTGTTCAATGAATGTTAAGTATGTGCTGAGTCGCCTGTTATTCCCCACCCTGGGAGGCAAGTCAAAGGAAAATGCGTCTGTTGAGCAGGGACCTCGCTGCTGCCAAGCCTGTGTGCGGTTTTTTTTGATGTGTGGATTCCTTGTTAATTTTGAAAATACTCCTGGGTCCTTCTCTTTTTTTTTTTTTTTTTTTTTTTTTTTCCTGGAGCGGGTTAGTTTGTGTCCTCAGGACCGCAAGGAAGGATAGTGTTAAATGCCGAACACCTTTCTGGCAGTGGCAGAAGAGGATTGCATCTGCTTATGAGGTATTGCGTGTGTTTTCCACCGGGATTAAAAGGATGCTGTGGGAAGTGTCTGTGTTGCGGATTAGGATGAAATTGTCGTTCAAGATACCGCTTACCTTAACTTTCAGAGCAGTTTTACGTAGATTACTGGGTTTGATGTTTAAAGATAAGTCAGCGGACTCCTTAGAAATCCATGGTGGTCTCTGGTTTATCATGCGCTGTGTGAGATATGCAAGATACAAACTTTGGTCTTTTGGCATAAGATGGAAATGTAATTGTAGCTTATATTACAATATTATAGAAAATGTGAAAAGAGCCAGTGTGTACAAATACTTGTCACATACTGTCATCTTCATTCATGGTTTTTCTGTTCTTTAAGCTTGGTGCTTTATGCTTGGGTTATTTTAATCATTGGTGTTTAGAGATGTTGTGTAGTCCTTTGAAACAGAACTCGGGTCTTCAGTGGCCAGAGTTCCCCTGCTTTCCAGCTGAGGTCAGGTGAGTTTTCCAGTGAAGACAACAGATGGCTTCTCATTAGGAAAGGAAGTTTCACCTTTAAAATAAAAAAGGGCAGCCAGTGCGATGTAGGACTGTTGTGTATGCCGTAATCGGCAGGGGTGGGTGTGTGCCCCTCATCTGGCTGCCGTTGGTTCTCTCCTGAGCTGCGGGCTCGTGGCTCTTTGCTCTTTTTCACACCTGGGTGCTCTGCCCGTACAAGCACACGGACTCTGCGGGTGGGAGGCAAGAACTTGTGGCTCCACGTGCTCTGGCAGTGTTCTGCCTGTGCCAGGGTATCATCCCACCAGCACAGCTGACGGTGGATGGAGCTTTGCGGGCGGGCTGCTCCAGCAGAAACCCCTTGTGCAGAGCTGGCTGCGGATGGTTCTGCGGGCACGGTCCGGACCTGCTCTCCGAGCCGAGATGAAATGACACTGTGAGAGTTACTGGAAATAAGGCATCTGGAGGCAGCATCACAATTCTTGCAATTGAAACTCTTCTCATTCTGAGATTTAAATTTTTTTTTTTTAGTGGCTTGGTTTTTCGTGTAATGTGTAACTCCCATCTCTGGAGTGAATTCCCATCTGTTGAGTTTCAGGAGCCTGTCCAGTCTGCTGCGGGTTTTGTTGATAGGCTCTGAAACAGAGCTGTGCAGCAAGGTAGGAGAGGAGTCTGCAGGCTTTAGATCTAGGTGCTAGCTCCGTTGGTGTTCATTTTTTCCCAGTTGCTGTTGTTCACTAGGCAAATGTTCATACAAATCTTCGTTAACTCAAAGCACTGGGGAGCAAGACCCATCTCGTGGTAGGCTGCTGTCGCGTGCTCGCACACTGCGGACTGGTCACTAAATCTAGTGCCAGTGGAAATTCCTTTTGCTGTGCTGCGTGCTACATAAAACTTCTTCAATATTACTGACCGCTGCCTGTATTAGACTTGCTGCTGCTTCACTGGCAGGTGAAGATAACAAGTTTGCTTTCTGACGCCAATTTTCTCTCTTCTGAATTTTAGGAGAGCTCATACCTTGACAGTCCTGTTCATCCTCACGTGTGCGCTGGGCTACGTGACCTTGCTTGAGGAAACACCACAAGACACAGCCTACAATACAAAGAGGTAAATGTTTGAGAAAGTGTTTTGTCCGGTGTGTCTCAGAAGAGGGGAGCTGTACGAACGTGCTGTTACCTTGTGGGTAAGCTGCCTCGACCTTTGCATTAACTGGTGTAAATGCCCAAACCCTACAAAATGACAGAACCAAGCATAAGTCTGTAAGCTCCTTTGATGCTGGTTGTTGAATTTAATTTCTAATCAGTTTAGTGTCACTCACTGTCATACCTGGTGGATGCCGTGTGTGCGTGATGTAAAACAAAATACAAAACTATTTCTAAAACCTTGAGGTACTGGCTGCGTTTCTTTGGCAATGGTTCTGCCTCTTTTTCTTTGCAGAACCTAACTTTCTAAATTATGTGAGCTGGGACTTAATTTTTCTGACTTAAGTGCTTTTTGTAAAATTATGTTCAAGATTTCAGTACAGAACGTTAGTTGTTGTTGAAAATTAACATGAGAACTTGTAGCCCAAAGCGAAACTCTCGGAAAGTAAGAATGAGTCTTACATGTATGGTCCATTTCTACCTGAATTTAAGCTGATTAAATGTAGTTCAATTTCTTCTCTCTTTAAAGAAATACAGTGGGGAACAAAAAGTGGGAAGAGAAGTGGTCTTCTGAAAGTCTTAGTATATTTTACAAATTAAAGGGATGCTGACAGACTGCCAAGTGTCCTTGCTATCACCATGACGATCATTCTGTTTTCTACCAGTCTGGGTTCTTAAACATATTGCTGTTTTTTTCACATTTTTAAAGTGACTCAGGATACAGTATTCATTGGCATGGAGAAGCAGGAATTGGGGTATTTCCTGAGATAATCTTGCTGTTATTCTCTCAGTCACACAATAGCTGGAGCTAATGTAAGTGGCGCTCACACGTGTGCGAGCTGAGGGTTGGTGTGTTTGTGCGCGGGGGTGAAATGGAAGAAGTTGGAACACAGTGCTCTGTCCAGAGCTGGGAACATTTCCACAAGGCTTTGGTGTGAACAAATGCCATTTTATTCCCGGTTACACCGAGTGAGTCTAGGGAACGGATGGAGAGCTGACATCCTCTGGAGCGGCAGTTCAAAAAGTTACACCAAGTGAGTCTAGGGAACGGATGGAGGGCTGACATCCTCTGGAGCGGCAGTTCAAAATAAAGACAGGGAAAAGCTGAAAGAGGAGTGATGGCACATCGTTGGGGATTAATACAGAGCTAAGGTGACTCAGTGGAATATCTTATTATTGAGATTAGAGCCTTTACTCCTCTAATAAAAACAAAACCAGAGAAGGTTAATCAGCAGACTAACCTTTCTTACAGGAAATAGAAGTTGTTTTTGCATATTCAGTGCGGGGAATAACGTGTCCGGTTGTTACGAAATGAATTTACCAGCATCATACCAGGCAATGAGAAGCGAATGTTCTTAGATCACTTCTGTGGCTTTGCTTGTGGAGTACTCCTTGCAGTATCTAGATGCAAAAAAGCTTGAAAAGCAGCATCCTGAGAATTGTATACAGTCTTCCAAATATTGGTTTTGAAGGATACGTCCTTCTTCCCACTCATGCTGCACCCTTATGCTATTGCTGTAGTTGTGAAGCTACATGCCGAATTCTGAGGCAGTGGTTGACTTGCCCGAATCATTACTTTTTCCAAGTTAAAGATCAGTGAAAAATAACGCACGAGTCCTGTGGCCCTTTCCTAAGCTTCACCTCTGCTGCCTTGGCCCCGGTTTACAGAGGAGCTGAAGTGCCGGTGTTGTTCAGCACACTCCTTGTGCTGAGTCAGTTCTCAGTGAACTCATCTGATCTCAGTTCAGTCTCTTTTCTAAGGTCTCTGAGGGAAGCACTATGCCGAGCTTAGCACCATTGAGCACGAAAGATTCCAGCTCAGTTCACGTCTAAGCCGTTCTTACCTTCTTCAGCATCCGTGTGCGTGCTGTGGTCTTGTATCTCATTGCTCCTGGCCAATTTTATGTGGCTTCTCAAGTGTATGTTTGACCAAAAAGAGGCATTTCAGAGCAGGAGTAAGATGATCACAGCATGCCTAAGTATATCCATATCCCCAATTGTCACAGATTTTTCTTTTCTTCCATAACTTCAAACACCTTATCCTCCATTGGGTTCTTTGTCAGTCTTGGTGTGGAGCTGTTTTGATCCCAAGTGCTGGCCTGCGCGAGGCTCCCTGCGTGCAGATATTTCCTGGGAACACTTGCCTGCTTAACGAACAGCGGTAGCTGATTACTGACGAGCAGTGTCTCTAGCTGTCATGCTTTTTTATTTCCAACTCCTGCACAACAACAGTGGAGCAGTGTTTCGGCGCCGAGGTACACGCTCACAAACACTTTAACCTCCTTTGTTTGCAAGCTCTTGCTGAGAGGTGCCGGGCTGCCTGAGAGCTGCAGGAGGTGCTTAGAGCAGAGCATAAAGTGAAGCAGATACACAGTTTGCTCTGCTGGCTGCTGTCGGTGGGTTGCCTGGACTAGCTGAAACCACAGGAGTTCATCTGAGGGTCCCAAAGTGCTTCACCCAGGCACTTACAGAGCAGCTGAGGGCAGGGGGAGTGGCTGGATGTGGGCAGCAAGTCACAGGAGAAACGATGGACAGAAAACAAATTAGAGCAAGAACCCCTGGGACCACGGGGTGTGGTATCGATGGCTGAGATTTACATTGGCATCTGCTTATGTGCTGATGTTTGAGTGCCATTTTCTGTCCTGCAGCATGGTATTGTCGCTGTTTCCTTCAGTCACTAATCCAGTCGCGCTTCCCACCGTCGTAAAACAAGCAAAATAACTGAGTTTTCTATCTGTTATGTAAAAGCCATTTTTATTTCCAGGAAGCACAAACTTTTTATACTCAGAGGTGAGTGTCACAGAATAGTTTTCATCAATCCTTTTGTTTTCTGTTTTAAAATAAGATTTTAAAAAGTTAAAGCATGAATAGTCTGCTATTGCTTCTGGTATGTAACATTTTCTCAATAAAAGCGAAATTATTGGGTATTTTCTCTGGCTCCTACAAACAGAGCCACTTTATTTACAGTCAGGGGTTGCGTCATTTGCTGCAAACATGGCCTATACTTATCCTGCAGCGTAGCGAGGAATTTCTCAGTTATCTCTCTCTTCAGCCAGCTCTTCAGCAGGTAATATGAGAAAGCATAAAAGTTCTATTGGGAGTTTGGATGAAAGAATATAATTTACAATTTCATTAGAAAGATGAAGCAATATAAACTGTTTGTTCTGTTTTTCACTTTCAGAGGTATTGTTGCCAGTATTTTGGTTTTCTTATGTTTTGGAGTTACACAAGCTAAAGATGGACCATTTTCAAGACCTCATCCAGGTAATTTAAGTTACTTCAGTCACTCAGATATTTCTGGTAAATTGCATGGTTTAGGGTCAACATAAATATTTGTGGTATTGGTAGAGAAGGTAAGTTGTAATTTAAATAATAATAATTATGTTCATTAACACTGCACACTTACCAGGGAGCCTCCCAGCTTCCAGCCAGCCTCCAAACAGCACAGTGATCCTTCTGGGCTTCCATTCTGCATGTAGCATAGGATTTCTTTTTTTCTTTTTTTTAAATCTCCCTGTGTTGGCTTCCTGTTGTTAGTAAAAAGCTCTGTGTGAACTGTCAGATTCTTGAAACCTTCACTTCCCTTGTTTATCCCTTTTCTTCCCCTCTGTTCTGTAATGGGGCTGCACTTCTGACCAGGTATCTGGCTGCTGGAGCACTGCGCTCCCCATGCTGGATGTCCATTATCCAGTAACTGGTACATTAGAAGCCCTTGATTATTATTTTAAAGATTTGTAATAAGACTGTAAGTCTTGAAAGCTTTTGAAAGCACAGCACAGAATCTCTTCCATGTAGTGTTGTATCAGGTGAAGTATGAGAATATTTTAATATCTTTGATCTTTTGCCTACTTTTAGATGTGAATAATTGGAAAAGAATTAAAGGAATTTATGTAGGTTTACATAATATTCCTGAAAGCATTAGGCTCTCCTACATACAGTCAAATGAAGCTGTAAGTATTTCTTCTGCCAAAAATATAACCTTCCAGTTTGGGAGTGCTATACTATATGAGAAACAGCAGACACGTTAAAAACCTCAGTAAAGCAGATGTTGTTCTAGAGGAAGATCTTTTGAGGTTCCTTCCGATCTCTAACATTCTGTGATTCTGTGAATGCCCGCAGCACACCTCTACAAACTGAAGGTTTTATTCAGGAGTTTGCATTTCTGAGGTCTCATTAAATACCAGTTTTCAGTCTTTCCTTCCTTTACAGTTAATTTTGGTTCCTCCTGTAAGACACATTACTCCTCTTAAGGACAGCAGTGATATTTGAGTGCTTTCAGTTTTGGAACTTCAGTGGTTTTGTCTGGGACACAAGTCATTTTTATTCCCTAGAACAAAGCAGTAGAAATGGGATGGGGAAGGTCCAAGGGTCGGAGATCTCTATAGCAAACTTCTAGCGTAGGCTGAGCCAGCATCTGCCGCCTCTGTGTGCTCCTGTCTTGGAAACAGAAGTTACTGGACTGAAGCTGAGTGTATTCATCTCATCTTTTGACTTGACTTCACCTCTCCTCTAGCTTGTTTGATGAGATGATCTTCTGAAGAGTGGTTTCAGGGGTCATGCCTCCTCACCTCCCCGTGGGAAGCTCTTACAGGCAGCTGAGGACACGGTATTGCAGCCCTGCGAGATGTGGCGTCCGCTCTCCAGTTGCAGGGGCTGTGGAGGGCTGTACTGGGAAGTTCCCGTCGGGCAGTCGAGTCTCTGACCTTGTCTTCGTGGTGCTGTTCTGGGAGAAAGATCTCATCTCAAAGGAACGGGCAGCGCAGGCACTGGTGTGTGCTGCTTCCATTTATAGGGCAGAAGGAAGCCTGTGGGTCAGTCAGGTCACTGCCATCGCGTCCAGCACCTCGGATCTGTGGCAGGGGCTCTTCAGGCTGTACCTGGAAAGCAGCTAGGTTCCATGACCTGCTTCTGTCGGGTGATTTTTGGAGCCCTATTTTCAGCATGTGAATTTATGACCAGCTCAGAGATGTTTTATATTTTTGTCTGGTTTTTGTGCCTAATGTTGTTCTGTTTAAATAGCTCCTCTTACTCGGTGTTTATGCACCTGATGCATTTATACACAGCACACATTTACCATCTCAATTGATTTTGCTAAAGTAACAAATTTTGCTTTTAGTCCCCCCCACCCCCGGTAGAAGTCTGCTTTCCCCGTGATATTTTGGTAGTCCTTCTCTTTGTGTGTTTTGAGTTTTCTTTAGAATGGCTGTCCAGAACCGTGTGGGATATTGCAGATGTGAGAGCCCTTGTTTTTTCTTCCCACTATCTCTCTCTCTGGCAGTGCTCTGATGGCCATCTTCATACTGCATGTGCTTTTTTCCTGGCTGTGTTACAGTGACAGCTGAGTGACCGGCAGATAATACCAAATCCTTCTGTTTCAGGTGATGAGCTAACATGAAAACTCAGTGATTCCTAAGTGTGAAACTGCATTACGAGCTCTTCTGTTACTCTTGTCCTTTGAGATCATCTGATTTTCTCTCTGCTGTCCCTGCCTGCCCTGCTGCTGCTGTCTGTGCTTTGTGTTATTAACCTGCTTTTCGCTAAGGCCATTAATGAAACTGATCTTCACCACCACATCAGTGGTATCCATCCAGACTGGTGATTTTTTTTTTCCCCTCCTTCCTTTCAGTATTACCAGCAATGTCAGCTTTAGCCAATGGCTCCTCCAGCTTTACCATTTTTTGCCTGCTGATTTCACACCCCCCATTTTCTCCAGTTCAGCTGATCATTTGCTACATGGACCTATACCAGTCGCCTTGGTGTAATTCAGAAATGTAGGATTACCATGGCAGTAAGTACATAGGACTATTTAGGCAAGGCTTTTTACAAACTTTCCCTGCTTTTCATCCCATTTTCAATTTTTCCCTGTAAACCACTGGCTTCAAGGCCTCCATTCGCTTCCATCCAGACCTTCAAGCAAAGGAGGAGCACTGCCTTCAGCCCAAAGAGCAGTATTTCCACGGGACAAATCTGCTTGAGGGTGAGAGAATACCGAAATTTGGAGAGTGGAGTGCATTCCATGATAAAATTAATCATGGATAAAGTCAGTATCAGTATGCTGACTTCTTATTGTTTGCAAATAAGAGATTCTTCATTCTTACTGTCGGCTCCTTTTATGGAGCCTTGCACATGCCAATAGCCTGGTGTTGTAACAGTGCAATGATGCTGTATTGTCTTTGTCGAGATAACATGCCAACATTATAATTCTAAAGACATTTTCCATGGCAGTTATTAATGCCCTAAGAAATAGCTTTTCATATTCCCGACCTTTGCCAGCAGTTATTTTGACATCATGCGTGACAGCACAAGCCCCTTGGAGATCTGAACTAACCCACCGGCTGGAGGAGCGAGGAGTGAGCGGAAAAGAGCCGGATCTCCTCTGTCTCCTGGTAAAGGCACAGGCAGGACAGGGCACTGGTGAGACTGGGTGGAGCAGCTGGCTGCCTCGACGTTCTGCAGAGAGGAAACCCTTTCGTCAGAACTTTACCAGGGAAGGGTATGGGATCTGCCCCGTTCTGACGACTCCTTTATCAATTCATGAATCTGCCTACTCACCGCTGGTTGTGCACAGATGTGTTGGACTGTTGGGATAGTGACACTCATTGGCTGCTTTTTCACGGACTGGGTGGAATAAATTGCTCTCTATTAGGGGTTTGGACAAGCTGAGCTTTCAACTCTTATTTTCTATCTTCACACAGCATTTAATGTGTTCAGGCATTGCATTTAAAAGTACAGACCTGCCCGTGCAGATCTAGGACTAGTCTGAAGGGCTCTCCTGCCCTCTTGTACTCTCAACCTCTTGGTTGTCCCACCTCCTAGTCCTTGCAACTCGCTGGTCACGAGCAGTGCTTTTGAACCTGAGCTCGCGATGGAAAACCTTGTGCTCGGAGCAGTAACCTGAGGAGGCGTCTGCTGGGCCAGGCTCACGTGGATGCTCAGAGCAGGCAGCTCTCCCTGCTCATGTCCTGCGCGACTTCTGATCAGCACCTCATAGCTTCTGCCCCCATAGCAGCTCTCAGATAAGTGTCTTGCTTGGGCAAATCACTTAGAAATTTTTTTTCTTTACTCATTTAGCCTTTCAGGTGGCATAGGTCACACTCAGAGCTCTAAGTGGCTGGCTGTGCACTCAGCCAGGCACCGCTCTCTTGTTAAGGGTTCATCTTGTGTGTGCAGCACAAACTGGCAGCGGTTTGGTGTTTGAGCACAGTAATCACTGAACTATCAGGTATGGAAATGATTAGTTGAAGCCTACTTAACCAGGAGGATAGTCCTAGTTTGGGGGAGGTTCATGGTGACAAGTGCATTTAAGGAAAACAAATATTAGAGGTACGCCAGAAATAACATTACAGCTAAAGCTGGGGCCAGTCCAGGGAGGGAGAACACAGTGTTTGCACAGCTCTGGAAACATCTTGTTTCTGGTGTACCCATACAGATATAAAGTAGTCTTCAAAAGCTCTTGGGTGCTTATGGCAGCTGGGAGGATGCACACTACGTTATAACGAGAGCTTTCTTTTTTATTGTGAAATATTATTGAGCATATTCAGCAGCTGCACATCCTCTATTGCCGGAACCCTGTGTGTACAGGAGGAGAAAGTCCTCATAATCTGTGGTGAGAAGTTTGGGTTTTTTTAATGACTGACCCCTAAGAAGACACTTCATTGAATTGCATAATTAAGAAATTTCAATTATGTTTGTAGACTTTAAGTAAAACTCTTAAAAGTGTCAGATTTCTAGTGAAAGCTGGTACAGAGCTCACCTGCCTTTCTTATTTATCCTTTTTTCTCTTGGAAGTATAAAGTAGGCCAATTTGGTGGAATTAATTTAGCGGTTTTGCTGAAGAAAGGTCACACCTTCTCACATCTCAGTCTATTTTAATGGTGGTGTCAGAGGCAGGTTGTCAGACTTCTTTAAAAAAAATGTGGATTTTTTTTTTCTCTACTTGAGGCTGAATTGGACAAAGACGACATCTGGCTTCCTCTGTGCCCCTATCCAGTCCTGTCACCTCGAGGTACCCATGGAAGGAGAGCTCTGTTTTAGAAGGGTAAACAGGAAACACCTGAAGGAAAGTCTATTAAAATCATTCCAGAGTGATTAGTATGTGACATTAGTGGGAGATTTAAGTACCCCCTTGGAATGAGTCAGGTTTTGCTGAATTACCTTGTGTACACTTCTGGATGAGGTGAGGGAAAAAAGCTGCAGCACTCTGTACACACACCGGCTCTGCGTTAACCTGCGTCCTCTCGTCCAGGAGTTAACCAAAACCCTGGGTAAGATTCCAGAGCCCAGAAACCACTTTGCGGAACGAAAGCCAAACCAGTCTGTGGGTGGAGGAGGCTGAATTAGGGCATGGATGCAGCCCGTGGACAGTCAGAGCCTTCTGCTGGGGGCTGAGGCTTGCAGGAGAACCGGGGTGATGATGGGGGAGCTGGCAGTGTACCAACCCTTTCATTTGTGTACCCTGGAGATCCAGGTGTGGGTCAGTGTGAGACGATCTGTAATCTTGCATCTAGCACCTGCCAAACCTTTGCTACATTTTATTTTAATTAATTCCTAGTAAAAGTTAAAATACCTTTGGTATTTTTAAGTGCTTTCTGCCCCTGGAGGAAACAGCCTTGTCGTCAGGGGAAAACAATGGACTTACAGAAATAAAAGCAGTGGTTCACCCCGCCGGTCTTGGTCATGTCTGTTTTGGCAGTACAGAGGCAGAAGCTGGTGCAGTGTGTTAGCTGTGATAGCGGGGCTGGGACAGCCACAGCTGGACGGGCCAGGTTGTGTGAGATCGTGGAGAAACAAATTCGATTAGTTCAGGAAGGACGTAGTTCTCTTCCAAGGACCACTGGGAAGCATTGCAAGTGGCAGGTATCATTCCTTCTAATACTTTAATATTAATTCTTAAATACAGATTTCCGTAGCAGCCTGTCTGGCAGTGAAAGAGCCTTCTTTAGGAAGGATGGTGAACACTTTACTTGAGTGCTGGGCTTTATAATTTCCTGGTGGGATCTCTTCTGAAATGTTCCGTTGTGTTACAGTAAATGAGTAGTTGACTGCCCTTCTGCTTGAAAGCTTGCTGACATCCCGTTTGTCTGTTTCTGTAGCTTACTGGAGGTTTTGGCTGTGTGTCAGCGTTGTGTATGAGCTCTTCCTCATCTTTATACTTTTTCAGGTAAGTAACGTAGTCCTCTAGTCACTAAATGCCAGTTTAATGTGGATATAAAATCCTTTGTGGTGGTGTTCAGGATTCCGACTGACTGCAGGAGGTGCTCTTCATTTTTGTGAAATCGAATCATTGTGCTTTTTAATGAGACTTGGAGGTTGAAGAAAAATTATAATATTATAAAAATAGTCTCAGTCTAGGTTAGACACCACACTGGAGTGTTCTTAAATGAGCTGATAAGAAGTCAGAGCTCTTGAGTTCAGACGATGAGGAGTTGGTGCTTCTCGTGGTCAGTCTCTACTCTGCTGGACCTGGCGACTTGCTGCAGTTGCATACCAGCTGTTGGTTTCCGTGGTCCTACAGATTATGGGGTGAATTCATCTTGTTTGACCTTTGGAAATACTTTTTACTTGAATTATAGGTTCTTTAAATGTGGGGGGGGGTTTTTTGCAGTAAACCAAAAATTCATATACAGCTTTGTGCGGTGGCAGCAAGCTGAGGGTGATGTTTTCTCTAGAAAAACGTGCTATTGGTACTTCCAAATAGAGTATGTTATTTTCTACCATATTCTTGTGCTTTAATAAACTGAGAACTTTCCCCTGGCTTGTACGAGAGGTGGCTGTCCAGTTCTGCCAGATTCAGATCCCGGTTGGAGTCCCCAGGTGTTCATTTTCAGGTCGCTCCTTCTGGCTGACACCTCAGTAACATTTGGTGCTCTGTATTTTATAAGGGTTGTGCAGGTACCCTCCCATACCCATCAGGTAGCTTTAAAAATCATTTTAGATGAGAGATGGATGAGGAACATGTTTTTTTAAAAATGTTTTGCTTCTAGAGGCCGGGTGAGCTTGAAGAAGCAGGGCTGGAATTCAGAGCTGTCAGGATCTATCATCTGTTGGAGCAGGGCATTTGCTTTGCAAACGAGTTTTTAATATTGATCAAACCCTTTCCAGCTAATCAAAGATTTCCTTTGGCTCCAGCATTTCTCGTTCAGCTTGGCTTTCCTGGAACCTCCCCAGCAGTCAGTGCCAAACTCTCTTAAGAACACAGAACTGTCCTTTTTTATTTCTTTTTTTTTTCCTGGCCATTGTTTCAGTGGGCAGCTGGACCACGCAAACAACAGCGTGAGTTTGTCCCGTTGGCATAACTTGGGGGTTCAGTGTAAACCCTTATGCAGGGCCCTCGTTAGGGTTTCTTTCAGGCTGCCTGTCCTGCTCGGAGGGAGTGGAGTTCTGACCCCTTCACGGGCATGCACAGGTCTGTCTTGCCTTTTTTGTTGCTATTCCTCACCACCGAGGAGTACTTACTCAGTTCCAGTTTATTCTTCTGTTCTGACTGTTTTGTGTCACCCCGTTTTTTTTCCAGGCATCCTTGTGACACTCCTGACTAGCCACAGTCAGACTGAAGAACGTGTTTCATTTTATTTAATAGTACTGTTGTAGTTCTGAATTCTGGTGGAAAAGCCTGGAGTTGCTTCGCTTTCCTCTGGCAGCGTGTTATGAGAGGTTGAGGACACGCACTAGCTGTTGCTCAGCTCTTCACTAAAAATTCATTACTTTGCAGAGGTTTAAATAAGGTGAAAATTATGCTGAGTTTGCAAGTGACTGAACTTCCTTAAAAGCAAACACAAGCTCGTTTGTAGTCAAAACTTGTCTTACAGCGAATGTGACTTTAGTGGCTGTATTCTATAATTTTATTATTACTGCTATTAGCTAGTTTTGGCCTTGCCCTGCTGTCACTGGCTGCTGCTCTGTCACGTTGCATTGCTTCTGTTGTACAACCAGGGGCACAGCAGGGAGCAGTGGGAAATGCTTATTCAGCAAATGTGCGTGTGAGTTACCAGTAAATTAGCTCAAGTTTTTGCCCCTTTTTGTAACTAATATTTTGATAATTTCTTCCTTGCTGTTTGCTGCAAGTTTGTCCCATGCTGCCAGTGGGTCCTTATTTGAAATTACTATTTATGCACCGAGCTGCATTGATTGTATTTTTTTTCTGCCACACAATGCAGAGCAGTTCTCAGGTTTCTGCAGCTGCAGGGAGCTGAGCACAACACTAACCCTGCTCGGTGTGCTCCCGCTGCTGGTGGCTGCACGGACTGAGCTGCGCATTGGCAGCGCTGCTGGACCTTTCCACTCCAGGAAAACCACAGGTCACTAGCGCAGGAGATGCAGCCGTTACATGAGCCTGTCCTGAGTTATCGGCTGCTTTCTCTTTACCTCACCAAGCCCGGGGAGGGCAGAGGAAGGGCAGAAGGGTCAGCGGGAAGCATGAGTTGTGTGCCAGTTCAAGTGATAAGCTTGAACACAAGGGGACACAGAGGAGTGGCTTAGGAAACAGGGCTAAAGATCTCTGATTTTTTGTCTTTAAGAAATCTTAAGTTCATTCTGTAGACTTTTTTTTCCTTGGTATTTAGCATTAGAGGCCCAGAAAGTCAGGTGTATATATATATATGAGGTCTGGATATATTTTAAGAATTGTTCTGCAACAGGTTGTTAAAAAACCCTCCCCAACTGAGGATACAGCATTGATCTTAATTATCTTTGTAATTTCCTGTGCATTAATCCTTACTAAGGGGGACCCACGGGGTCTGTGTTCCTCTTGCAGACTGTCCAGGATGGCAGGCAGTTCATGAAGTACATTGATCCACATTTAGGTGTTCCCCTGCCAGAAAGAGACTATGGCGGCAACTGCCTTATTTACGATCCCGGCAATGAAACGGATCCATTTCACAACATCTGGGTAAGAAACAAATAAAGGTACAAGCAATCCGTAAGCTGCACTTCTCTGAACACCAGAAACCATCAGGTTACTGCTTCTCATTGGCAAACAGAAGACTTGAAATTCAAGGGCAAGGGAATTAGGATTACTTACCACTCCCTGACCCATGGAGCTGTTAGTGCTGGTGTAGCGAGGAGACTGAATCCGATGGGTCTGCCGTGTCGGTCTTCAGTGCCTCAGGACCTGGAGTAACTGAGAGCAGTTTCTAGGCTTGTACCAAAGCTAGGAGGAGGAAATGCCTTTGCCTGGGCAGTCTTTGCCCAGGGATTCACGGTGGCAGGACTGGTAAGATTTAAGAAGCTCTGCTAGATACAGGGTTGGGGTCTCTATCAACACAATCCTAGTTCTAGTTTCTGACCCTTAAAATTTTTTATTTTTCTTGGAAGATAGCTTGTTTGTTCACTGTACTTGAGAATAAGGAAACTAATAAAATGCATCTAGTATTTATATGGCAAACAACTGAAGTTTATTGCTGTGTTTTTCTTGGGGGGGAAGAAAGTAAGCCTGAAGAATGGGTTATTGTTTATAGTGCAAAGTGACCCACGCTCTCTTCTTGGTCTGTAGGACAAACTGGATGGCTTTGTTCCTGCTCATTTTTTTGGCTGGTACCTGAAGGTAAGAATGGGGCTTCTGTTGCGTTTCTGTTACAGTGCTGTTCTGCTTTTAAAGCTTGACTGCTTCTGTCCTGGTGATGCAAGTCTTTGTGATCAATTACACGATGCAGTCACCCGTGACCTGGACTAAAGGCTCCCCTGCCTCCCCCGCCCATGCTAGGTCACCTCACTTCTCTCCAAATCAGCCTTACGCTGACAAGCTCCCTCCTCCACCATAATTCGTTCTGTGGTCGGATCCATACAAGGAAAAACCTTTATTCCTGTAGCAAGGTAAGTGCTTGAATGAATGTGGTGGAGTATGGGGCAGGCAGCATTCAGAGAGGGCAGCGAGTCTCCTCTTCCCCAAACGCGGATACGTGGGGATATGCTGCTGCTGGTCCAAGGATGGCTTTTCCCAGTGGCCCCTAAATCAGGATTTAAATCATTAAATGTTTAATTCTTGATACTTTCCAGTCAATATCAGCCTACTGTGGGAGTAATTCCAGTTGTGCTTGTCTCTGACAGAACACATTTAGTGTATTTTGTTATTTACTTTGGTCTAAGTATTAGAGGTTTTTTAACCTGAACAAACTTAACCAGCTAACTCTGTTCTGCCCTGCAGACCTTGTTTGGTTTTTTACCACCAAGACCACCATATATAATAAACTGTACACGTGTCCTCTGTGTTCAGAGTCCAGAAAGGCTAATCCCGTATTCCTTAAGTGATCAGTTTTGAAATTGGGAAAAAAAGTAACAATTTTTCCATACGCTGTTGCAAAACTGTAGATCTGAGCAGTATTTATGGAGTTGTCCTTTATTGAGATTTCTAAAGGGCATTGGTGCAAGTGGTGTCTGGTTCTACTCAGTTGGTGTGCAAGTATTCATTCCTGTAATGGCTTTTAGGATGTTGTGCAACTGTTGTGGGTATTTGAAAGATTTTTTTTTTTTCTCCCTTTATATAGACCTTGATGATTCGAGACTGGTGGATGTGTATGATCATCAGTGTAATGTTTGAGTTCCTGGAGTACAGCCTAGAACACCAGCTTCCAAACTTCAGTGAATGTTGGTGGGATCACGTATGTACTGCATAGATCGTGATAGATTTGTCTCAATGGAAGTACGTGTTTTAAAGGGAGGGGGTAGAAAGTGGTGAGAGCTAAATCATATCATGTGCATGTGGCTGGAGGTGCACGCGGGACTGCTGCAGCTCAGAGGCATTGGTGCTTCTCCCTGTTGAGCTTATAATTTATTTGTCACTGTTTGTATAATTTTGTGGGTTTTCAAGCTATTGCACGTGGCTGAATATTTGTTTTGGTTCATTTCACACCAGAGAAAGAATCTAAAGCTTTACCTGAGCATTTTCAAAGACTTGGTGATGGTACAAACCATAAAATCTGAAATAAAGAGAAAGGTAAAGCTTTGTGTATAAAGTTTCAGATGGTGATTTTTCTTGCCTGTTTAAAAAAGAAAAAAACCCAAACAAACAACAAAACCCAAAAAACCAAACAAACCCAAACCAAACAACAAAAAAACCCAACCAGACAAACCAGATTCAGTGCAGTTTGTGTCCAGCTCTTCCTTCTGTGCAAACTGATCTTCACTGTTTTCTGAAAGCAGTAAATATTACAGTGTTTAGAATTTCTGGTGTGGCCTGTAAAAGGGTTTTAAAAAATAAGTGTTTGGCCTTCCTGAAAAGCTCTATGGTCTTTGCACATAATAGACTGTAACTACTCTTCTCCTGAAATACTGCTGGTGTGCATTTTTTCAAGCCAGAGAGAATTCTGTGATCTTGTTTCTCTGTGGAAAAAAACAAGCTCTATAGCTTAAAGTAACACTTCTTTTTTTCCTTTTTTTTTTAAATTTTTAAATTTTCCTATGAAATGTAAGTAGGTTACCAGAGAAATCAACGTTATCTACATTCAGGGCACGCAGCCATAGTTCTCATGTTATTTCGTTTCGATTTTATTCTACAGTACCAGCTCTTTCCCAAGCATGCAATGATTTGCTGCATGGTTGTGTTTATCAAAGTAAATGCGTTATGGATAAAGACATCCAGCAAAGCTATTTTGCCTTCAATAAAACAACTTCCTATGAGATTAGCACTCTGTGCTCTGCTGCTTTGAACACAGAGGACAGCCACGGTTTTTTTCAGCTCCAGAGCTCTGTCTCCAGAATTAGCACTTAGCCATAAGACAGAGCACGGGGAGAAATCACCTGTTTAGTTTCACATCCTGAGCCTGGAGATAAACCTCTTGTTGAGGAGGCAACCTGAAGCTTAAAGGGTGTCTTGAGTTATTGAGCATAGTAAAATCCAGTCCATAGGAACGTGTTCAGGTGTTTTGAGTGTTTCTGAAGTTCTCACTTAACGGAGTTGAGCTGATAGTAAGTGGGAAGAGGTCTGTTCCCCAAGCGAATCCACAGCTGTCATCTGTCGAACACTTGCTTTATTCGAGTGGGCTTGGGCGGCTCTGATTCTTTCTCCTGGCAGTTCACGTGCCTCTCTTCTCTGGGGATGTTCAGTCCTTACGACCTGGAGTGTGTCTGTGTGTACCTGTAGTACTTCACTTTTACAAGCTTCAGTGCTTCTTCTCTCCATCACCGTGTTTCTCTCCTTCCAGTGGATAATGGATGTGATCTTATGTAACGGATTAGGAATTTACTGTGGGATGAAGACTCTGTCTTGGCTTTCTTTGAAGACGTACAAATGGCAAGGACTTTGGAACATTCCGACATACAAGTGAGTTGGTGTAGGAAGTAACCCCACCAGCAGCAGCACAGCACAAAGCTTGGGCCCGTGTTAAAGACCTTGGTTGCTGAAGGGTTGTTCTGTTGGGGTTAATGGGAAGTAAAGGATGAGCTTATTCAGTGACATTGTTAAAGGAGATGTGGGAATTCCTGTTAGGATCATATTCTCTCCTTCACAGCAAGGGTCGATTTGTTCCTTGTGCAAATAGTGCATTCCACAGTAGTCAGATCATCACAGTAATTGGGACACTGAAACTCAACATTTAATTAATCCCTTGTAGTTTTGTACCAGTGATGAACTGCCCTCCTCTGTAGCGTGTCTTTGCTGAGCAAAGCAGATCTGAGGAGCTGCTTACTGCAGTGGGTGTCCTATATTAAAGTGGAAAATGAGGGTCCAAATAGCAGGCATCTCTCTAACTCGGAGTGTCGGTCTCATTAAGTAGTAAGTTTAATGGAGTAAATGGAGGCATTTTGCATATGTGAGTTGGTGCCTCAAATGGAAATGTTAGTAGACATCTCTTATGTGCTGTTTCTTAGTATTGCAATAACGTGTTCTGCTTTTTTTCCAGAGGCAAAATGAAGAGAATTGTCTTCCAGTTCACCCCGTATAGCTGGGTCAAATTCGAGTGGAAGCCAGCATCCAGCTTACGCAGATGGCTAGCAGTTTGTGGCATAATCTTTGTAGTAAGGAAACTTCTGTCTTGTCTTTTCTCTGTCATTTGATTTAACGTTGTGTAACACTCAAGCACCTGCACAAACAGTAACTGAGGCTGAGACTCTGACATGGGGATGTTTCTTTAGTTGGGGCTGGAAGAGATCGCTTCCAAATCCTGCAGAAAAGGGGTCTGTTTCCATCTCTGGGACAGTTTAAGGATTCATTGCACAAATATTTATTCTTGCTCGCTGAACAGTGTTGGTTGGCAACGTGAGCAATCTAAATTGTGATCTACAGATAATTCAGCAAGTAAGTGCTGCTACCAAAAACATTGGCTTTGGATGAAAGCGGCTTGTTTCTCCGAGTCTTAGGCAGATGCATATCCCATTACAGCTGGAGAGGGCTGAAGGCAAAGCCTCGGGCTTCTGTGTTAGCCCTGAGCAGCATGGCTCCTGGAATGCACAGTTTTGCCTCGGATAATGTTTTTATATAGACTTAAATAATTCAGTTATCCTAGATTTCTCTTTTTATGTTTCACCGAACATGTAGCACGCAATGATGTTAACAGTATCCAGCTCGAGCGGTAAAAAATTAGACAAAAGAGAAAGTTGGCTTCTCCCACAGTCACAACAAATCGACAGTCTGCCCCCTTCATCGAGCTGTGAAGTTTAACTAAAAAAAACCTTGTGACGCTGCTAGTGATCCCAGAGACCACAGGCATTAACCAGTTGCTGTATGACTGCCGTGGTACAGGGTGCAGCTCGGTGTGTTTTTTAACAGCGGTTACAACAGCGTGCTTCGAAGCATCTTGAAAGAGGTGCGGTATGAAATCTAGTGGTGGTTTATTTTGAGGTCTGTCCAGTGAAGTTCCCTATTACAGTTTGCTGAGCAGGACGCATCAGTCAGCTTGGCAGGCCACCGCCACCTCTCTGTCTCGTAATAACATTGGATTTTGTGCTGATGTCAAAGTGCAGCCCTGAGCCTGCTTCAGGAGCCATGCACTGCCTGTAAGGAGCGAGCAGTGCCAGCAGTGGGTGCCAGGCAGCTGCAAACTCAGCCACTCGGACACAGGTTCACATCCCCTGATTCCCACCACGTGAAACGCTCGCCAGGTTCACACAGCACAACAGACCTGCTGGGGTTCCCAGAGTTTAGAGAAGTGAAGTCAACGTGCCTGCATAAATAAAATAGGTTTTTCTGAATGGTTCCTGTGTCTGTACTCCCAACTTTTTGCACCCCAAGGGGTTTTAGGCGCTGAAGCAGATTTTGCAGCTGAGACATTCCATTGAATTTATACTGATCTCTGGTATAATAATGTTTCTTTTAGCAAAGCCTAGCTTCGGGTGACAGTTTATAAGCAGCTTCAGGCATTGGCTCACTCTTTTGGATTAAACAGCGCTTAATGCCGTTTGATATAATTTCTTTTGAAGTGGGAGCCTTGTGTCTCCTTGCTCACTTATTAACATTGCCAGGACAGCTCACTCGAGAACATTTTGCTGTAAATGTATAATCACTTCTCCTAAGATGGCTTTGACAGTGACATTTGCGTAACTGTGCAAAAAAGACCAAACCGAACCAAACCAAAAACCCCAGGATGTACTGCTTCTGCCTGTCTTTACTTTGGGATCCCCTCAGTCAGATTTTGAATGACACTGAAAGGACCAGTTGTTGCTCTTAGGATTTGTTATCAGTAGTTCTGCAGGTACTTCAAACTCCTTGTAAACTTGTTCAAAATTAGAGGCGGTGCTTGTCCAGGTTTCTCTTGTGGTTTTTTTTTTAATACCTCTTCCAACACACAGAGAATTTTCAGCTGTTCTTGGTTGTTATTGCAGCTACTGATGGTGTGCTCAGTAATGCTGAGCAGGGCTTTGTGGCGTTAGAGGCATGGTGGGGGGAGTCATGCAGGGAGAGAGGGAGATTCCAGGCTTCATCCAGTGAAGTCTTCTGAATGTAATTAAAATGTCCTTTTTCTCAGTTTTTATTGGCAGAGCTGAACACATTTTACTTGAAGTTTGTCCTTTGGATGCCACCAGAACACTACTTGGTCCTGTTACGACTTGTCTTTTTTGTCAATGTGGGAGGTGTGGCTATGAGGGAGATCTACGACTTCATGGATGACCCGTAAGCCAGTCCTCTTGTGTATATACCATGTCAAGCTTCACTTGCTTTATTTTGAATTTGCTCCAGCTTGTTGGCATCCATCTCAGGGCAATAGTTCAGCTTGTCAGGCGCAAAAAGACCTAATCCCAAAGCATCTGCTTTGTGCTCTTTTGTTTTGGAGGCAGAGTTCTGACTGCATCTGGTTAGAGAGCAGCTGTTGTTAAGGGCATTGTGTGCACAGTTTTAACCTCAGTTTGTAATAAATGATTGCTCTTTTGAGAACACGATGTGTAAACTAGCTGGAGTGCCTGGGCAGAGGAGTACTGAGCTTCACTTTCAGATTGATAGCCAGGAGCTACAGTCCTTAGGTGTACCTTCTAAGGACAACAGGGCCCAAACTAAAAAAAATGTGTTTCTTAAAGGCGCTTCTTTTCTTGAGCTATCTTCCAGCTGGTCCCGGGTCCTCTGGGGCTCTTGTCGCATCCTCTTGCAGGTCAGGGAACCCCTGATTGCAAAGCGTGGTGAGGGGGAAGTGCACCCGTACACAGCAGTGCATGTACTTTCAGACTGTTCCTACTTAAGCATCATGTCTTGCTGCTTTTGTTTCTGCAGACCACATAAGACCTGAGAAAGCTTTGTTCTCAAAAACCACGTTTTCTTTTAAGTTTTAGTAGTAATCTCACAAATTGCCTGAGCCCACATCTTAAGTCTAAGACAATGTCTGGCTTCCAGGGATGTTCATTGTCTGTCACTGACCATCGCAAAAAGTGTCTGTGTTCAGAATTTAGGGTTCCAACATTCTGTGAAGATCAGTTTCCCTTGCAAGGCTTTGACTCCTAGAACTGGGAAGAAGGGTCAACCCACATTGCTTAGTTGGATTTCAGGACATTCAGCAGTGGCAGGCTGCCCCTGCCTTTGATGTCGGACCTGCTGGTTTGGGACGTGCCTCCAACGCAAAGGTAAGAAGAGGTCTCTGCCTCTCACTGGTGGGCTCCTCTCCTTAGCACCATTCGCGATCTTCTGATCCTTGTGTTTGGGTTGGAAAAACTCCTTTGCCTTCTGTTCAGCCACATAGCATAGCGTTGAAATTTAGGAGAATCGCTGGTCACCGGTGCCTTATTGCTAGGTCAGTTCCTTGCCGTGCTTTCAGTGAGCTGGAGAAGTTCATCCAGCAAGCAGCGCTTCTCATCCTGAACTGCTTGTCTTCATCCTTGCCACCACCACCACCTGCTGTTCTGTTTCTCCTGGTGGGTAAGGTGACTAGTCCCCGCTCTGGGTGGGTGAGGTGATCAGTCCCTGCGCTTCTGAGGCTCATGGCTCTGCTGGATGCACTGCAGAGCTGACCTCATCAGACTGCTCACGCAAAGTGGCAGAGCCCAGCATCTGGTCTTACCTCATATCTGCAAAGGCTTTGCAACTGGACTTCGGTTCTTCTGTGCATCTCAGGTCATCCAAGCAGAGATAATCTCCTCCTGTTGTACCAGCTTAACTGGGTGTGTTTTCACTTGCACGTTGTTTTGAACCAAGGAACCATTTTGGATTCTTCCTGTTGTGTTGCAGGGAGAAGCTGCTGGGGAGGAGCAGGCTGTACCAGAGGCTCCCAGCTAACAGCACGTGAGAAACCTTCCTGACCTTTTCCTTTTGGAAACTCAACTTCTTAATAGACAAAGGTTGGAATATTCCGTTGACCTTCCTTGTCAGCAACATGGCTTGGTGCCTTGTCTGGCAGTGATGGGATTGTCTGAGATAAACCGATTAGATCTCTGCAGCTAACCTTGCGTTATTTAGTCTAGAAGGTAGTGAAGTTCAAATATGAACTCTCTTCTTCTCAGTCAGATTCTGAGTATCTGCAGACAGCTCTAGGGCTTTGCTTTTAGTGACTTGGTCTGAGCCTGGTGACAATAAAGTATGAGGAACTGAAATAGTCCAAGAAGAGGGGTAGTTCTGGATCTGTTCTCCAGTTCTTACATACCATGCTCCTGTCGTGATCAACATCCTGCTTGAGTTCTTGGGGACCAGCTATGTGGAGTGTTCCTAACCAGAAATATCTTGATGCAAGAGGCGGTAGCATTTGATCTTGTCATATCTTCCTGGTTTCTAGTCTTCAAGTCTCTTCTAAGGAGTCTGCATTGAAGCCATGAGTTTTAATCTCATTCATCAAATAAAAAATAGGACTTTCCTTTAAAATCTGTAATGAGTGGAAGGGCAGGAAGCAAACTCTTCCTTGGCAGCATTAGGTTCTGCACAGCTCTTCTGCTGGGGACACCTTTAGTTCTTTTTTGTCAGTGTGCTGTCACAAGCTGGCAAAAGAAGACGATGGCGAACAAGGAAGCCGATCAGGAAAGCAGAGAGCTGACCTACTCATCCGAACAGCTTGACTTCCCAGTGAGAGATGTGCTGTTTCGTTTTTCTCTCCATGTGTTCAGGCTAGTCTCTGCCCGTTTAATCTGTCACAGCAGATGAACCACCTGGAGCAGTTTCTGAAGTCCTTTCATCTGAGCTGGTCCAGGCAGGATGCTTGTCTGCATCAGCAATAACCTGCACTTGATTTACTGTATCAGATTTTATCCAACTGTATTTGGGCAATTTTGTATAGTTTGAATTTACGTGTATTGGTGTCAAATATGACTCTCAGGCCTCGTGTTTCAGAAACTGTGTTTTGTGTGCTTGACTTGCGATGTCTCCCCTGGATTCGGGAGAGGGGAGATGCAGTTGGAGGCTCTGTTGGCTCTCCATGCTTACATCCCTTCCCAGATGCCGAGGATCCAAGGGGATGCAGTGGAGCGGATGTGTCTGAGCAGCAGGAGGACACCTGCTAGAGGAAGGATGCTCTCCCCAGTGCCGCTGCTGGCACCTGATGAGAAGAGGGAGGAGAAACTGGGAGCACATGTGGAGCTCCCTCTGGCCCAGTGCTGTTGGAGGTGCTCGGGGCTGCTGCGGTGTGTGCCCTGGGCAGGGTGCGGGCGGGAGGTGCAGGCTGGCAGGCAGGCTCCTTTCTCTGCCCAGCAGAGGGAAGCATTAGCAGAGCAGCCCCAGGGATTTGGGGTGGGATTGGGGATTTGTAAAGTGGCTTCTCTTTCATCCACTGCGTGGCAAAACCAGCAGGAAAATACAGCCCGAAGAGCTTGTGTGGCTGCTGAATGTCCCAGCCAGCATTTATGGAGTCAGTGCCTCACCCAGACAGGAGGCTGTATGTCACAGCAGTCAGACCAGCCAAGAATTTCCCGTTGCTGCAATGCTCTGGAAGCACTGCAGAGGTCAGCTTACCCCATCCATCCCTCTCCCAGCCCTCCGAGGGCTGGTTATACCGCTTTGCTGACCGGTAATTCTGCTGCTTTACACTGAATTCCTCCTGGATGTGTTTCACCTCGCATCTGAGGCTGTGGTGGGGATGAAATAGCACAGTAAGCTGGACAGAAGAGAAGGGACCCGGTAGGAAAATGTGCTTCAGAGCACGCTGTGGTTAAGCGAGAGGGCAAGGCCTCTGCAGAGCAGGTGCTCCCGGCGGTGAAAGCAGAGACGTACGGAGCCAGGGCAGAATGAGGAGGAAGAGAGGCAAAGAGGACTAACAGGAAAGTGCACCAAAATGCTGCTTTGTGTGTTTTTTCAGGAAAGCAATACAGTCAAAGGCTGTTGAGCAGTTAGTTGGGTGTGCGTGCTGGTGACATGGTGGCAGTGCTGGTTGAGGGTATTGCTGTTCTCAAGTTCACTCTGCCTCGATTCAAATCAGTTGGATGTCAGGAAACTTTTCATAAAACTGTGCCTTTGGAAAAAAAATAATAATACATGCAACTTGTAGTAGCTTTCTCTTGGTTCTTTCCTCTAATGGGAATAAAATCACAATTTAGATTCAGAAGGTGGGTGATAGAACAAAAACTTAGTCTACCCAGCGGGAAGTGATGCACTTGGCTCTGCACTGCTGGGTAGCACGTCTGCCTGCACCAGTGGCACTGCGATGGGCAGGATTTCAGTGCAGCCCAGTCCTGCTGCCCAGACAGAACCCTATTTGGTTATTGACGTACGCATCATCTGGTCTGTCAGGTCAGTGAGCTGTAAAAGTGTCAAGCCTAGAAATTACTTGGACAGAGCAGGTCAAGAAGTAGAGGATCTGTCTGGTCTAGATCACGCACCTTACCAGGGTCTCCAGACCTGTGAGGGTACCAGAAGGCAGCCTATAGTATAGATTTCCCAGGCAGGAATAGGTGACGCAAAAGATGGTGTATTTCCAGTCTCTCCTTCTGCAAGCAGAGCCTCTGAATAGGTGTCTCGATTCTACTGCTGTTTGATTTCTGGCGTTACTGATTGATGAGTCCTTCACTAGACTCGTACGTGGCGCTGCAGCTTCTCATTGCCTTGTCTGGTACCGCTTAAAACCAGACCCTGGGGATGAAATATTAATCACGTGTTTGCCCCAAGGTTGTGTTGTCCTAGAAGTGGAATGCCGTCCTCGTGTCTTCCATTATCTTGCCTGTTGGTTATTAAGCTTTCTTCTTTCAAAACCCGTTCAGAGATCATTAGTGACAGCTCACTGAATACCTTTTTGGAAGAGAGTAAGTTTCAGAATGCAATTATATAGGGGATAAATATGGTCACAGCAGTGTGTCTTGGTGTTTGCAGGTGAAATCTAGGAGTAGAGCTCCTGTTTCCTACCGTACCCTGAGCCTCAGCTGATGCCAGGCTGGGCAGATAGTTGTTTTATGGGGATTTACCAATACCCTGGAAATGGGGATACTTCCTTGCGTCACGGGATGATAAAGTCTAACTTTCCATGTGTTCTCAGCCTCTGAGAGGAGCTTAAGTAACACACGAAAGCCGTCAGCCTGCATAGCCTTAGTACATGTGTGATCCAAACTAGACTTTTAGAATTGTGCAAAGCTGGATGAAACTATTACCCCAGATGTCTTTTTATGAGTGTTTCTCTGAATGCTTCATTTCATAGCACTAACTTTGTTTTATCTTTGTGTTTATTTTGCAGGAAGTTCCATAAAAAATTAGGTCAGCAGGCATGGCTGGTTGCGGCTATTACTGCCACGGAGTTTCTGATTGTCGTGAAGTATGATCCCCATACGCTCACGCTTTCTCTTCCTTTCTACATCACCCAGTGCTGGATCCTGGGGATCATACTGGTGCTCACCTGGACAGCCTGGCGGTTCTTCATCCGGTAAGCAGGGTTTGACGTGCGACATTCAGCTCTAGCCTGGGTCTTACGGGGGGTTATTCTGGACCAAGTCTTCAAATGTGTGCTGTGGTTAGCCGTCAGCGCCTGCTGAAGACAGATCACAGCCCTTTGGAACGGCCAGAGCTGCAGCGGAGTTGTGTGAGTTATTAAACAAGCAGGGAGCTTTCCGTCTGTGATCCAGGAATTGTTCTGTCTGCATCGAGCCTCTGTGGCTCTGGTCTTTGGGGCACTGCTTGTGCTGGTGTTGCTGGAGGAGGAGAACAGCAATTGTCTGACTGCCCCCGGCCCTCCTGGGTGAGGGAAGGCGGTAGGCAAGGTCGTGGTTTGTTTCTCCTGTGCTCAGAGTTAGACAGGACTAAGATGTGTTGCAGCTTTGTTGCAAGAACAGTTGGCTGTGTTGCAGTTGTCCGAGCTGTCCCGGTGTCCGCGACAAGTGAGCCAAGCTAAACGGGTTCAGTTTGGATGCTGCTCGGGGCACGTCCAGGAGAAGCAGCTGCACAGGGCTGAAAGAATGACCCTGATCTGGAGAGGAGGCGTGGCACAGCCGTTGCTCTTGTTGAGTGTGCTGTTGTGTTGTGCTCTTGAAAGAGGTGATAATAGCCGGGCTTCCAGCAAGAAACACCCATTTCAAGTGCATCCATGCCATCAGCAGTTTTAGAAACTTACAGCCAAAGACTCGAGTGGGTTGAGTTATCCCAAGGGCACTTGCACCCAGAGCAGACTTGCCATATTGTTGGTGTTGTGTGTTGAAATTGTTCACTCGCATCACTGGTTCACATCCATCTGCTTTTCTTTCCAGCGACATCACTTTGCGGTATAAGGAGATCAGGCGGCAGAAGCAGGAGCACAAATATGAAAAGGACAAATGCTTGAGCAACGGGGATAGACACTCGCCAGTACTGGATGAACAAAACGGGAACAAACCGAGGGAGAGGAAACTCTGAGCAACAGACAACAGGCTAAAGGAACTCGTGGTGCTCAAGCTGGCCTGGTGTGGACAGTTTCAACCTTATCCTACCTAACGTGTAATTGTCGTTGTTAGCTTTCCAGCGTGTGAAAATCCCCTCGGGGGAAAGATGTCATCTTGATGTACACACCTTTCTCCTCGTGTACACCTACTCGGAGTCGGAGAAAGTCTGTGTAGGGGGAAGTAGAACCAACACCGTCCCAGGGAGATGGGATCTTCATCCAGACGTGTTGTGTGTCTTCCTCAAAAACAAGGGTTGGAGACGAGGGGCTTTAAAGCAAAGCGCAAAGGGAACCTAGCTGATCTATTTCCAGTAAACTGTGAGATGTCAATTTTGATGTTTGGGCATTAGGAACACTTGTTGTGGGGTGTACAGATACCTGGTGCAGGAAATGAATTATTTTTTTTTCTGCTGAAACTACCTTGAGCTGTGGAGTAGGATTGTGTGAAGTGTTCAGCCACCAATTAACAGAACTACAGCGAGATAAATGTAGATGAACTGAAGCTTGTGAACAAGTTGCGTAACTTGCACAGAATGTGACGTCGTACACTACTGTTACAGCCCCCGTAACGGGGCTCTTGCCTTTCTCTAAACTGACTTTCAGCATCCCAGAGTAGCCTGCAATAGTTTTTTGTTCTGTCACAGCTCTAAGGAGACAGACAACTTCTCCTTAGTTTTGTTTTGTTTTTTAATTTTTCTGTTAGTCTTGGTCATCTCTTAAACGTAAGGGAAGGTGAAATAAGAAAGGTCAACCTGCCTTTCCTTTTGCTTCGTGGAGTAAGATGTGTTACAAGCAGAAAACTGGGAGTTACTCCATCGGTCTTAAGTTATTTGCCTTATTCTCAGCTCTTTCAGTTTGCTCACCAAGAGAGTTTCACTGCTCTATGGGGCACACGAGGTTCTGCCCCATTCCTCCTGAGTCCAACGGGACGAGGTGTCCTCTGCAGTCATGCACAAAAGGCTCCCAACGTGCCGCCCTCCCCGCCAAGGGAACCAGGTGAGGCGCAGTGCATCCTCTCCCCTAGCGCTGGGTCTGCCCTCCCCGCCAAGGGAACCAGGCGAGGTGCAGTGCATCCTCTCCCCTAGCGCTGGGTCGCAGCGGAGGTCTGCAGGCCAAGCCAGACGGTGTTCCTGCTGCTGGTGACTCAGCATCTAGGAAAAGAAATTGGAAACCTGGGCTGCATTTATTTTTTTTTTCAGGTCATTATTCCAAAATGTGCTACCGTAAGCGCCAGTTTGGTAGCCTCTGCTCTGCGCCGTTGCACTGGCGTCGGAGGCACTGGCGTAGCCGTAACCACATCGCACTCTAAAGACTGTGACCTAACCTGGCTGTTACAGGGTATCTTTCAGGGTTTATCCAGAGGAAAACAACAGAAACGCCACCAGTAAAATTTCAAGTGTGCAACCCCAGACTTTGCAAGTGGCAGGAGACTTGCAGAGCTGCTGACTAGCAAACATCTGCGTTTGTGGTCTGTTTTGGTCTTGTACGTAAGTGACAACCAAAATCCGCATTTCTCCCGTGTTTACAGAGCGAGCGAAATGCTTCCCACCCTTAAGGAGTGGGCACGTAGCAGTGGGGCAGCGCTCAATTAACGGGGCAGCGCTCGATTAATGGGGCCATTGGTTGGGTCTGAGGAGCTCAGCAGAGGAAGCAGAGCTACGGGCGGAGCTGCTGGCCCGCTGCTCAGCAGAGAGGAGGAGGAGGATGACCAGGGTGAGAGGTAGGGTCAGGCTGCTTTCTGGAGTACGTTCAGCGTGCTGTGGACAGTCGCTCACAGGCTGCTCTTCGGTGGTGGTGCTGCTGTGGGTAGTGAGGAGCGTCCGGCTGTGTCACTACACGCTGACCAGTCTGCAGATGGGCAAGGGTGCTGAGCCCAGTGTTTGTTTCTGCGCCTTCCCGCCCAGAGTCCTCCTCGTTCCAGCTCCAGACCGGTCTCACGAACTGTTGCTGGTCGGTTGGTAGCTCGTACCCGTGTGTCGTGCTCGTACAGTCCTGGCTGCGCCAGGCTCAGGTCCCTGTGTCCCCGTTCTGTCTGTGCTGGGTGACACCGTGCCCCCTCTCCGGTCCCTTTGCAGTACAACCTCCTGGGTCCGTGTCGCGATTCGGGGGGAGCAGGCACACCGGGGAGGGTCTGGCGCTGCGCCTCCCTCCTCCCCTTCCCCCCAAAGCCCCGTGTGCGTGCATTTGAAACTACTGGTGAAGAATTCCCCCGTAACGATTCCTAATCCCTAGAACACTGACTGTGTGTCTGCGTCCCTCCGAGCTGCTTTTACGGTGAGTCTGGATAA